TTGACCAAAGTTATACAGTTTAAAAGCAAAGCAAAACAAAATACCAAGCAAATGAGTGTGAATATTTGACTGTCTAGAGATGAATAACAAATTCGCTTTAAAAAATTATCGCATTACTCTGGCATTTAGCAAATGTAAATCATTTAGGTAATCCTACAAGACCTAAAATAGGAAACGTTTAGTCTGATTTACCATCAGACATTTTTTTTTAAAGATGTTCCTTTTATTAGAGTGTATATAAACTTCTGGTTTCAATTGTATGTACTTACTCCCCGGGCCATTTATATCGTAGTTGATATTTAGTCGCATCATGTTTGTGTGTCATAACATCTAGTTTTTACGAGGTGGGTTGTTGGCCTAATGCTTAAACCCCATTCTGGAGGACCAGGACATACACACAAACACTACAGACAATTTAGCTCAGGGGATATTAAGTTATCTGGTGAAATTGTATTTATATCACAGTATATATCACAAAATAAAAATATATTACAATTTTACATTTTTCCAACATCGTATTACTTATATTACTCACATATTCAATTACAAATTTGCTCCTTATTTATATCTACATACAGTTTTTGACATTAAGGATGTGTTATATGCATGCTTTCTAACCTATTCTAGATTGTATTTCTGTGAGCTGGTATTAGCCTGAGAGCTGCTGTTAACTGCTGTTTTTTTGCTCAAAGGGTGTGAAAACACACCTCTTATCTTTTCTATGTTATCTATCTTTGGCTTATGTGCTTCAGCGGTCACAGAAACATCCTGTAAAATAAGGAATAATCAGCATGAACATCTGTTTTACAGCCATTTTTTATCTGGAAACTTCCAGTAACAACTAAACAGCAAAGTTGTCAAAGCAGCATATACAGTTGAGGGCTAAAACATCGCCTTTCAATGCGATATTAACATATTATAAATGTTTCCCAAATGATGTTGAACAGATTCAGGAATTTTTCACAGTATTTCCTATACTATTTTGTCTTCTGGAGAAAGTCAGATTTGTTTTATTTCGGCTAGAATAAGAGCCGAAGTTTTAAACCCATGTTAAGGTCAATATTATTAGCCCCTTTAAGCAATAGTAGTTTTGGATTGTCTCCAGAACAAACCACTGTTATACAATGACTTGCCTAATTACCCTAACTTTACCCTAATTAACCTAGTTAAGCTTTTAAATGTCACTTTAAGCTGAATACTAGTGTCTTAAAGAATGTCTAATATTATTTACTGTCATCATGACAAAGAGAAAATAAATCAGTTATTAGAGATGAGTTATCAAAACTATTATGATTAGAAATGTGCTGAGGAAATCTGCTCTCCTGTTACCAGTCTAGGGTTGGTGGGAACAATAACAAAAGTGTAAATAAATAAATAAATAAAACGTAAATAGTCAATTTAGGGTCTTCCCCTTCTCCTGTCCCAACTCACAATGATCACAACAAGTTTATCAAGAAGTAACAAGGTTTATTTTTTTCTTAAACAACAAAAGATATTGGAAGCATCTCTTCGGAAGGGGATCCAGGCCAAAATAATAAACAATAGACAGCTAACTTGCGGGGAAATAATCCTAACTTACCTGCTCAAATAAAACGTATCCCAAATAAAACTACAACAAACTTCCCTTTCTCCCTCGCTGCCACAAACCAGGAGAAAACGTTTGTAAAGTAAATGGCGATTCCCAACCTACAGCTTCTATTTAAATCCAAAATAATATATAGTTTTAATAAGTGAAACAGCTCACAGACTCAGATCTAACAGTGAGTTTAGAAAAGAAATTAAGTGTCAGCAAACAAAGCCAGTCAATCCAACACAAAGATCCATCTTTTGTTAAACCTCCAGTTTATATATGCTCCCACTCACAACACAGCTGGACCGCAATCAAGCGCAGCACTAGAGGGAGAGAGAGACCTGCTCATGCTCCACAGCGCGCAACTCAACATCAGCTCAATATATATATATATATATATATATATATATATATATATATATATATATAACAACAAATATATATATATATATATATATATATATATATATATATATATATATATATATATATATATATATTGAAATGTTTTCTTCTTTTTAAAATATTTTTCAAATGATGTTTAACAGATTCAGGAAATGTTCACAGTATGCCTGAAAATATTTTTTCTTCTGGAGAAAGTCTTATTTGCTTTATTTTGGCAAGAATAAAAGCCGTTTTTAATTTTTTAAACACCATTTTAAGGACAATATTATTAACCCCTTCAATGTATTTTATGCTTAGTAAAGCTTGCATGTGCTTGCATGAAACCCTCAAAACTTAAACGACACCTGACAACCAAAACATTCTGAATATGTCAACAAAGGTTGATCATATTCTATTCTGAAAAAAAGAACACTACATTCGTTAACAAAAAATCATCGCGCTACGGCCAGCGTTCCACAAAAAGCACTTCGGGCCTCATTTTGTGCATATCAAATAGGAAAATCCAAAAAGCCACACACCATATATTTCAAGAGTTCCCACTTAGATATGCTTGGCATTTATAGCAGGTTTGGCATGCTGTCCCGGGAGAGAACCCTGAGCTCGGAGATATTTGAGCCCAGGGCTCCCGCATGGTCAATAAGCATATCAGGGGATCCGAGATCAGGTTGGTCTTGATCGCTCCCCCTTTAGAAGGGGAGATAAAGGAGTAGATGGGGTGGAAGAGGGGATTGTTCTAAAAAAAAGATTTAGCAATCAGAAGAAAGTGATCCATTTATAGTAAGTTAGGATCATTCTGATTGGATTATTACTGATTAAGGCCGAGTGGCCAGCAGTGCTCAATCATATCACGTGCTCCTCTCGAAATAAGTTTGTAAAATTTCACTTTTGACTGCTTTGAATGGATACTTTTTTTTTTACCCATTTTTCCATATTAAAATATTATGTTGGGTCTTGAGATTGAACTACTTGGTGGGTCCCGGAATAAAAAAGTTTGGGAATCCTTGCTATAGGGGAATTGATTAACTCAATCAACCGTAGTGTATGAGTGTGTGTGTGAGAATGAGTGTGTATGGGTGTTTCCCAGTACTGGGTTGCAGCTGGAAGGGCATCCGCTGCGTAAAACATATGCTGGATAAGTTGGTGGTTCATTCTGCTGTGGTGACCCCTGATAAATAAAGGACTAAGCCGGAGAAAAATCAATGATTTGTTCATTTTTATTGTACATAGTAAGAAAATATGCAGACGGTGCATAACATTTCACAAGGCACAGATAAAGTAAATCAATAACAAAAAACCCTTCGCTCAGTTCCATATAGTTCTTACCGAACAGACCCAAATCCTAGCCTTTCATCTTGTTCCTAGTCTAAATATCTAAAAACACTTATATGGAAGCATTTTCTAGACAAGCTTAAACATACTGTCTGGTTTTCAGAAATAACATACTAAAATGAAGGGAGTTTTTCTAACAACAAGCTAAATAATGAGCTAATGGGGCAAGCTAATTAATCTTATTTTTCTTTTTGAGATGAGAATATTTTGCTTTCCCCATTGGCAGATTATTTGTACAATATCAAGTTAAAACAAAATCATAACATTAATACAAAACATTTTTAAAAATTAAGTTTTACATCATACAATGTCAAAATTATCCGTAAATGAGCGTTTTTTCTGTATTTTGTGATTAATGTTTTCATTTTTCTCTCTTTATTTCTGCTTTTTGAATTGCATTATGGGATCTTGAACTTTCTTCCAACAACTTTTAACCATAAAAAGCTCAAAAAATATTGTCATTTTCATTAGTCTGCAGTGATATATTGTCTGTGTTGGTGTTGTATATTACACTACAAACACCTTGTAATAAACTGACAGCACATTTTCTCTTATTTTACAGACATATTTCTCAATATATTATTTCAAACTACTAAAATAAGACTGCACAATATATAATTTCAGCATTAATATTGCAATGTGACACACTGCAGGATATGCAATGTTGAATTATAGTTGACCAGGAGGTACAGAACACAAGTGATTTACAGAGTCACTGCTAAGTTTAACTATACAGGGGGGGCCATTATATGGATACAGCTTAGTTGGTGATAATAGCGTCCTGTTTGAGTAATAATATATGTCAGTGGGCTTGTAAATAACTCATGAAAGAATAAAGCTACTTTTAAAACCAAGCACACTATTGTTTTTCTTGTGAAATTCCCAATAAATTTATTAATGTGTATCCATATAAATGGCCCACTCTGTAGTAGAGTGAAAGTTTAGTAAAATAATAAAGTATAAAGCGTGTGTTTTTAAGGGCTGTGACTGTGCATTTATAGAGTTTCAAATCTGACAACATTTGGGCACAAGAAATTATGCTGTTTGGAGGTGTAAAAAAGATTAATGGTGTGTTTAATTATTTATATTTATGAAAAAAGATTCTTACTTAGAATTAAGTCTTGTTTCTAGTTCAAATATCTACAGAGCTCAGCATAATTCAGTACAGCCCATTTTGAAAATGAATATTTTTCTCCATTTCTTAGTGAATATAGGCAATGTATTTTGGTGCATTTAAACAAAACACATATATTTATTAAAATAATATTTAAAAATAGTCACCAAACATATATAGAAATTGAAAGATAATACAATCAAATTCATGCAAAAAATTGAAAAATAAATAAATAAAAATTGCAAACATCAAATTTCTTTATTTTTCCTTTTTTTAAATTTGTATTTAATATTTTTCTATATCATATACATTTGTCTGTACTAGTTTTTGATCGTTATCTTAAGTTATTTTGTTAGATTAGCTCCAGATTTGGTTTCAGTACTGACAAATCCAGGGGTGGCCAACCCTGTTCCTGGAGAGCCACCTTCCTGCAGATTTCAGTTGCTACCCATACCAAACACACCTGAACCAATTAATTAGGACCTGAACACCACGTGATAATTACAGGCAGGTGTGTTTGATATGGGTTGCAACTGAAATCTGCAGGAAGGCGGCTCTCCAGGAACAGGGTTGGCCACCCCTGCACTAATCTAATGCATACACAAATATAATTTTGTATAGCTTCCTATTAATAATATGAATTTATAAGAGAGATTTGTGAGGGGTGTAGACATATATGCTGAGCACTGTACATTTTAAAGCAATTGGCAGATCATTGCTTGTGTTAAGGAAAAAAAAAAAAATCTTATTTTTGGCTAATTTCTTCCAAACTTAAAAAACAAAACAATATTTTTTACTTAATCTGATCTTAACTTAGATATTTGTATTAGACAAAGCAAAAGTAAGAAAAGCATTTTTTTGCATTGCGATTATTCAATTTCTGTACCTAAATACTGTTAGACTCTCTAGAAACATCAAATAGAGCTAGTCAAACCACCTAATTGTATTCGAATCGCAATATTTAACATAGAAAAATGTAATAATGCATCCTAAAATGTCAATAAAAGTCACTGTTAAACTGCAGAGTTAAATTTTCAACATTAAAAGTCGACAGAGCAGGAATCAACATCCCATAATGCCATTCACAACGGCAAATAAACAGAACACGTCCTTAAAACACAATGGCTGCGTCCGAAACCGCCTACTACTCAGTAGGTACTGCATTTGAATTTAAACGTACTACTCGGCCGTTAGAAAAGTACGGTCTATACAGTATGGATATGAAAAGCATGAATGGAATTCGGACGTACTACATCCGCCATTTTGTCATGGTCACGTGACCTACCTGCGTCAGTTGCGTCGCTTTACTTCCATTCATGAATTCGCTCGCGGGGCATTATGGGATAGCGCAGCATGCATGGGATGCGCACTCCGGAATCTTGCCGGAAGTAGTAAGTCATCCGGGTACTTCTCGAATACTGTTTTTCGAATTCTATGAATTCGGACATACAACTCGGCTCGCATACTGATTTTGGCGTACTATATAGTATGGAAGTATGCGGTTTCGGACGCAGCCAATATTTCACAGTGTATCTGTAGTATTTCTCACTCAGGCAGCATTGGGCATCGCTTTTTTTTAATATGAGCCCTCAGACTAGGCAAATGAACAAACCTTTTCTTGCAATGTGAGCACTTGTGCGGCCTTTCTCCGGTGTGCGTTATCTCATGAGCTTTCAGGGATTCAGAATAAGCGAAACTCCTCTCACAGTGCGAACAGGTGTACGGTTTCTCGTCGCTGTGCACCCTCTGGTGTAATTTTAATCGAGTTCCCGTCACGAATCTCTTTCCGCAGTCAAAACACATGTGAGGTTTGTCTCCGGTGTGCATACGCTCGTGCTCTTTGAGCTTTTGCATTGACGTATAACCTCTTCCACAGAAGCAGAAGTGCGGCTTTACGGCAGCGTGGACTTTCCGATGGCGTTGCAGGTATGTTAGTAGAGTAAACGTTTTATCGCACTGATCACAGCTGAACGACTTCACTCCGGTGTGATAGAGCTGATGGTTCAAGAGTTGCGTTTTAGATGTGTAGCTCTTCTCGCACTGAGTGCAAGCGAACATGCGTTTCTCTCCGGTGTGAATCGTCATGTGATATTTGAGGGCGTTCGTGTCAATGAATTTGTGTCCACACTGAGCGCACGAATACGGCTTTTCTCCAGTGTGAACTCTCATGTGTCTGGTAAGATCTCCTAGGTGTATGTACGTCTGCCCGCACATTTTGCATGCATGCGGTCGTTCTCCGGTGTGAAGTCTCATGTGTATGTCCAGCTTTACTTTATCTGTGAAGTCCTTCCCACATTGAGTGCACGTAAGCAGATTTTCTCCGGTGTGAAATCTCATGTGTCTTGTAAGATCTGGTTTACGCGAGTAGCTCTTTTCACACTCGGAACAAGCAAATTTTTTCTTGACATCAGTTTTTTGAGCTTTTGGTTGTCTTTGAGTCTTCTCCGTGACTTTGTCTGCATTTTCTTTAGTGGCATCGAGAGGTTTTTTAAATCGATTTCGTTTGTCTTTATTCGCTTTCACTGCACCTAGAAATAAACAAATAGAAAATATATTTAAAATGGTGAAAAATCAGCGTTACAGTTTAAGAAAGTGACTTTTAGTGGCATTTTAGTTGCTAGTTTAAAATAATGTACTTAGGCATGGGCTGGTATAAGATTGTAACGGTATGATAACCTTCGATAAAAATATCATGGCTTCACAGTAGCACATTCTTGAGATTATTGCACTAAAATATGCTCTCTTTAAATGTCTGGGAAGAAAAACAACATTTTTTTTTCCCTTTTGAAAACAATATATTACATTTTTGAAAGATTTATAATAGAAAGTTATAGTTGAAAGCAGAAGTTTACATACACTGTATAAAAAGGCACATAACCATTAAAAAAAAAAAGTCGGATGTTAATGTGACTAAACTTTGTCTCTTTTAGGTAAGTTAGGATGATCACATGTGTTTCTGATATTGTTTGAGAAATTTTTATAACTTTACTTGAAAGTCAAGTTTACAGACAATAAGATTATTCTGCCTCTGAAAGAGCTCAGATGATGATGTCAAGGTTTTGGAAGTTTCTGATTGGCTAATTGACAACATTTGAGTTAATTGGAGGCACAACTGTAGAATAGTATTGAAGGAAAAGCTCAAACACACTGCTTCCTTGTGTGACAACATGGGAAAATCAACAAGCCTGAATCAACAACAAAGCCAGATTACAATTTGCTAAATTACAAGACTAATGGAGACATGTCCTGTGCTCTGATGGAACTAAGATTAAACTGTTTGGCCATAATGACCAGTGTTACATTTGGAGGACAAAGGGGAAAGCGCACAAGCCTAGAAACACCATCCCTACTGTGAAGTATGGGGGCGGCAGCATCATGTTGTGGGGCTGTTTTGCTGCAGAAGGGACTGGTCCACTTCACAGTATAGATGGCATCATGAAGAAAGAACATTATGTAGAAATGCTGAAGCAACATTTCAAGACATCAGCCAGGAAATTAAAAATTGGCCACAAATGGGTCTTCCAAACAGACCATGACCCTAAGCATACTGCCAAATTAGTTCAAATGTGCTTTAAGAACAACTGAGTGAATGTTTTGGAGTGGCCATCACAAAGCCCTGATCTTAATTCTATAGAAAATGTGTGGGCAGAGTTGAAAAAGCTTGTGCGAGCAAGACAGCCTACAAATCTGACTCAGTTACAGCAATTCTGTCAGGAGGAATGGGCCAAAATTCCTGCAAACTATTGTGAGAAGCTTGTGGAAGGAGACCCAAAACATTTGACCAAAGTTGAACAGTTTAAAAGCAAAGCTAAAAAAATACCAAGGAAATGTGTGTGAATATTTGACTGTCTAGAGATTAATAAAATATTCTCCCCAAAAATTCTCTCATTATTCTGGCCTTTAGCAAATGTAAATCATTTAGGTAATTCTACCAGACCTAAAATAGTAAACGTTTAGTCTGATTTACCATAAAAAAAAGAAAAAAAATGGTTATGTTCCTTTTTTAGAGTATATGTAAACTTATGTTCAATTCAATTCAATTCAGCTTTATTTGTATAGCGCTTTTACAATGTAGATTGTGTCAAAGCAGCTTCACATAAATGGTCATAGTAACTGGAACAGTGTGGCTCAGTAACTGGAACAGTGTGGTTCAGGTTTTAGTGTTTAAACTTCTGGTTTCAACTGTATAGTGTTTAAGTAATGTTATGTAGAGAAAAACGTCTGTAAAATAACAGAAAATGTATTTAAGCAGGCCTGTCATGATATCTATTTTTATGCTGTGAAATAATTTTATAATGTGAAAATGCAAATCCTAAATAAATAATAATGAACGACAAGAAAAAAGTGCAAGGTAAAAAGTAACACAGGCTGCGATATCTGCTATGAGACCTATTTTCAGCTGTCAGATACCCACATGAAAATATACTTTAGTAATTTATAGTGAATACTAGGCATGGGATGAAGGATGATGCCCGTTTTCAAGGTATAACACGGTTTGGAAAACTGAAGGTTTTAAAACCACCAAAATTTTCTTTAGTACCGTTTCTAAGGTAATGTAAAAGATTTTTATTTACTTTTTTTGTTTGTTTTTTAGTATCTTCAGGAGAAAAAAATATATCCAAAAATGATGTTTTAAATTGTAGAGAAAGCTGTGTGTTTTTGAAACTAATGAAGACAGCAGAAGTCAGTGATTAATTTTAATTATTTAGCCTGCATTGTTTACTGCTCCAAAATATTTTAAATGTCTCAAAATATAACACATTGTGTTCAAAAGGGGGGGTTCAAAAGTTTTTTTTTTACAGACATTTAAAAAGAATATATTAACTCAGAGCAGTAATGACAATACCGTGAAACCGTAATATTTTTATCCAAGGTTATCATACCGTCAGAATCTTATACCAACCCATGCCTAGTGAATACTGCGGCATTTATTAAACCATAAAACAAAAACAAAGTTTGTGCATCATAAAGAATAACATTCAGACAATTTAAGAGTTGATTTGAATCTTTTATCTCAAATAATGTCAGAGTTTAATTCATTTAAGTGTTTACAGTGTATTCAACTTAATGAAAATATGGATTTGTTACTGTAAATAAAATCAACAAAGGCTGTAAAAATGCTTGTGCATTATAGAGAATAATATTTAGACAGATTTCTGAGTTGGTGATGGTGACTTCACAAAGTGAGTTAAGTTTTACCATATTTACATTAAAAGTTATACTAAAATTATTATGAAATTTAAAAAAAAGTGGTGAATCCAAAATCTTTCTTTCTTGTGCAATAAGCAGGATGTTTTTTCTGAACATTTTGGTCCTGGTTTTATTGTATGATTTCATATGGTTGAATTGTTTAATTCATTCGTATGTAGATTTTTTTAAATCGAGAAATTAAGCCTTGTGCAACATAAAGGACACATACTTAAGTCATATTTTTGACATATTGGCTCAAATTTTAACAGAAGCAAAGAATTTAATTAGTTTGAAACCGAAATGATGATCATCTAATGAACGTCAAACTAACCGCGGTCACTCCGTCCACTGTTATCCAGTGTTTAACGGCAGTTTTTCATCGCAAATTTAAATCAGCTAAATTTAATTGGAAATACAAAATATTCTAACCTGCTCGTTTCTTTGTAGCGTCGTGTCTCATTCTGCAGGGTTCTTCCTCAGTCTCCATCTTTACAACAGTGTCAGTTGTTTCTCCAGCAGTAATTCCTCCTGTTTGCTTAAAATGGGGGATTCTCCTCAGTGTTTAAACTCCCGTGAACTGATGTGGGCGGAGCTTCATTGGCTACGTCATCTCCGCATTTACACTCCCTTGAGTAATCCAGATTTACGCATTTAACGTAAATAATCGTTTATTTAAAAGTGCGGGAGAGCTCACAACTTTACACCCTACAATACCCCTATCTGAAATAACAAGTATATTCTACACAGGAACAAACCCATTTTTTATGAAGAAAGGGTAAATAAAAATATTTGGTCAGTAACAGACATAATGGATGGAAGGGGCAATATTCTAGATTACAATACTTTCACTCTAAGACAGGGATTTGCTTGTCATCCAAAGCAAATTTTCACTGTTATTAATGCAATATCCTCATGTATAAAATATTAATGAAAAGTTACCTATCCTATTCAAAAATTACTCCAGTCCTTCTCTTATTATACACTGGTGAGATTGAATTCGATAATAAACCTTGCACTAATAAACATTTAAGACAAATTATTATCCAATCTGGTTTCCCCTATCAAGTATTAAGAAATAAGTTATTTCATTCAGTGGATAAAAATACTGTTTAATATTTTAGAACAACATATCTTAAATTTCCAATTCTCCCCAGGGCAAAAGAAAATTTTAAATATTAAATTATATATATATATATATATATATATATATATATATAATTTTACACCTGAAATTTAATTTAGAAAATTCACCATGCCATTTATGTAAACACTTAACTGAAGACACAAAACATACACACACACACACACACACACACATATATATATATATATATATATATATATATATACATACACACACACACGTTTTTTTTTCTTTTGCAGTGCCGTTCAATTATTTTGGAAATAAGTACAAGACCGGTTGATAATAAAGAATGTGGATGCTGAAGGTTTGACTTTTAGATTACAAGATGTACTATATGGAATTACTAAAGATTGCTCTGTTTTGCATGATTTGATAAATATGATCATTGTATTAGTCAAATATTTTATTCATTAATGCAGATATTTCAAAACACCTCTATTACTCATTGTAATAATAAAAGAATTTAAAATATTTTCAGATGCCCTGGCTAAAATGAAAACAAAAATTGCCTTAAAAATGTTTATTTGTATCATATAACTTCCCATAGCTGATATCTGTGTTGTAGTGATTTTCTTTTATGTTTTCATTTTACCCTTGATTTTATTTTAGCTTGAATGTTTTTTTATAAATGACATTTTTTTGTATTTCTGTTTATTATTTTTGTGATGAGCCTGCCATATGTGATACACAATTTGTTAAGTGGAATCCCAGTTTGTTGTATTTTGATTTTGTATTTTCAATAAAAAAAATAAATAAATAAATAAAAAAGGGTGGGAGAGTGATTGTAGTCAATATTTAAGCCAGAGATTTTCTTTCAAATTGTTTTTATGTCATCAGTGTGTGAGTTGAGCTCATTTAGCAGATACTTCTCACACTCTACATTCACTTAGTGCTGCATAAGTGCTCAAATTATCATTTAAAAACCAGACAATCAATCCAGTTGTTTTACTTTAATGGCTGCTCAATAAAGACTGATGCATAATTCAGCATTGGACTGAAACAGTCCCTTTGTGGGTTCAGCAGTACTGGCAGAAAGACACACAACAGTTTTTTTTAAGATTAAAACAAAATACCTAAAGGTGAGCAAACTCGTTTATCTTAATAATTATTATAGATAGTATTCTCAAATTAAAAACTACCATATTGTCATAAACTACTACAAATGTGTCTGAAATTAAAGTAAACAGCGCCATCTAGAGTAACATCATATTCACTGCCAAACTATTAGTGAAGTTATTCTGGTGATTTCGATTAAATCAAATGAATCTTTAATGCAATAGCGCTTTTACAATGTAGATTGAGTCAAAGTACAGTTTCAGTTCAGTGTAGTGTGAATGTCTCTGATTTCGATAACATTAAAAAAGTTTTGATGGTAGAATTAGATTTTTTTATGTTTGCCGAACAGTTCAAACAGGCTATTTTAAAAAGTCTGTAAATAAATGATGGTTGCTTGTTTATCACGCCTTTAAGTCTCCAGTTTTGCAGAAATAAACGATTGTAATTTATAGATTTTACAATATACATTCAAAACACTTGTGAACAAAACACGAAAATTAACAGATTATTTTACAGTGTATATCTTTACTGTAAAATACACAGTAATTTTGAAAGCAACAATGACACTTTAAAATAAAGTCACATACCGCATAGCTTATGGAGTTAGATTTGTTTCTTTATTATTAAAAAATTAATAAAAAAAACTTATGTCAATTATAATAAAATATTCTGGATTGCAAAAAATAAGCAATTGTCCTATTATGCAGTTACCACAATTTTCATTGCACACTCATTAATTTTGCTTTCTTTTCGGCTGTCATTTATTACACATCTAGAACCTTTGCTGTGTTAATTTTGTCTTGATTATTCAAACATATGAAGTTTTTGACCAAAATTAGGTACCATGCAATTTATAAAAAAAAAAGATTTTAAATAATGACATTTAAAAAAATTCACACTGCAAAAAATAAATTATTGCTGTTTTTTGCAGTTACCACCAGATTGATGTGTGCATAATAGGACAATTGTTTATTTATTGCAATCCAAAAGATTTTATTATAATTGACAGGGTTTTTTTATTTAACTTTTTTATTTTAAATCTATTCTTTTTTAATTACTACATTCTTAACTTTTCTTTAAAACTAAATATTTTTGATTGAATAATAAAGAAACAAAACTAACTCCATAATAACTCTCCTATATCCGTTTGGCATAATATCTTTGAAACACAGTCCCTCCTCTGCTGTCCAAAGCCACGCCTCCTATATGGTGCATGAATGCACACCTTTAAGATGACATTAGACATCCACTAGATCATGGCATTCGCCAGTTAGAAAAACTTTATAGTACTTCACAATACTAAAATTCTCAATGAAAACTGTATTATATCAGCATGTCTTCAGTTGTTTAGTAGCAGAACTTGTTATGTGCAATATTTCATGCATGTAAGGATCGCTGGTCTCACTCTCTCACACGCTTTGTCCTAAAGCGACTACTGTATGCTGAGTGTTTGGCTGGTGGCTGCAGGAATTACAGTTATTACTAAGCCATACTTGCATGCTATTTCAGAGTGAATCGTCAGAGTAGCGGTGAGCAATATAGGGAGCTCATCACAGACTGTCATAGATCAGAAATGACCCAATGTGAATATAAAAGCATTTTCAGTTAAAGGGCACCTATGGTAAAAAAAAATCTACTTTTCAAGCTGTTTGGACAGATCTGTGTGTTGGTATAGTGTATAGACCGTCATACTGGGGTGATATGAACACACCCAGTCCTTTTTTCTTCAATTTAACTACAAAAAAAGGGTCGGCCAATTGGAGCCGTTTTCAAATCAATCGCACCATTACGTAGGTGTGCGATCCCCCCGCCCACCGAATTGATTGACAGCTGGGCGCATTAACATGTTCCGGTAGTCGCGTGTATATGTCAACAAGACCAGACAGACATACGCAAAGCAGCCGGGAATAAAAGGTCTGTTCTGTTCGCTAGGATTAGCACTCATCATCAAATGTGGTTTAGAGTGAGTTTCACATGTTTAACGTGTTTTAAAACAGAATATGTGTGTAATTAATTACAGCGTTTTAATTCAGCTTTACTTCATCAGCACAGCCGCGTGTCAGAACAATTATAAAAGAAGACGCTTCAATCCCGGTTTGTGGAAGTTAAATCAGGTTTATTTTGTACATTAGCATAACAGATATCCACACAGTACTTGACGTGCGTGCGTGTGTGTGCGCGCGCGTGTAACGATATTGTGTGTGACTCATCAATGCAACTTCACAATACTGATTAGTAAAGGTTAGTTCTTACTGTAGTATCTCACAAACGCTACGTGAGACCTCCTTCCTTTAAGTCTGTCTGTTGTCTGACGCAGCTGAGGGAGGAGGCATGTAGAAATAGTGGGCGGGAATAACTCGTCTTAAAGGCGCAGTACGACAAAACCACCCCCTGCTGGAAATCAGTATAAAACAGCATCTTGTAAAAGGTATAATGAAAAATCTGATGGGTATTTTGATTTGAAACTTTATATATATCTAGAGACGCAAAAGACTTGTATTAAATCTGAAAAAAGGTGTAACCTAGGTGCCCTTTAAGTAACGCAGGCTAGGCGGAATAGACCGCCCTATTTACTGATGTTCTGTTGTTAAACTAAATATAAATCTGCATTATTGATGCTGTAAAAGGACATTATGAAGCTGAAAATGATCACATCAATCTAACACCGGGAGTTTTTAGTGGCTGAACAACACTTCTGTGCGTATAACCCATTCATAACAACACAATCTACATCAGCTCTGCGTGAACAAAATAATTTCAACATAATATTACCTGTCTAACAGAAATACTTCAGCCATGGTGTCTTCCTTCCTCCAGCGTGTAAAACTCCAATAATGATTCAGGATTTTGACTGTGGGGCACGCATGCACGTACAAACAGCGGATCAGCATGAAAGGCTGTGCAGATGTACAAATATACATTTGTTGACAGACAGTTTGAGCTACTCATTAGAATTATGGCAATTATCGGGCTCACAAATTTGAACAAGATTAATTTTTTTCTTATGCCTCAGAATATAAAAATACATGTAGTAATTCTGGAACGTGGGGCAAGGCAATGGCACAGTAGGTAGTGCTGTCGCCTCACAACAAGAAGGTCGCTGGTTCGAACCTCGGCTCAGTTGGTGTTTCTGTGTGGAGTTTGCATGTTCTCCCTACGTTCGCATGGGTTTCTTCCAGGTGCTCTGGTTTCCCCCAAAGTCCAAACACATGTGGTACAGGTGAATTGGGTAAGCTAAATTGTCCGTAATATATGAGTGTGTGTGTGAATGTTTCCCAGAGATGGGTTGAGGCTGGAAGCGTAAAAACTTGCTGGATAAGTTGCCGGTTCATTCCACTATGGCAAACACCGGATTAATAAAGGGACTAAGCCGACAAGAAAATGAATGAATGAATTCTGGAACGTATTGATAGCGCTTCACTTTTTCCACATTTTTTTATGTTACAGCCTTATTCCAAAATGGATTAAATTTGTTTATTTCCTCAACATTCTACACACAATCCCCCATAATGACATTGTAAAAAAATTGAGTTTTTATTTAGCGGAATATATAAAATTAGAGGAATTGGGTAAGCTAAATTCTCTATAGTGTATGAGTGGGAATGAGATTGGTTGCAGCTGGAAGGGCATCCACTGCATAAAACATATGCTGGATAAGTTGGCGGTTCATTCCGCTGTGGGCAACCCCTTGATTAATCAAGACTGAGCTGAAAAGAAAATGAATGAATGATTTATATATATATATATATATATATATATATATATATACACACACACAGTGAGAGTAAAAAGTATTTGATCCTTTGCTGCTTTTGTTGGTTTGCCCACTAATAAAGACCTGATCATTCTGTACTTTTAATGGTAGATGTATTCTAACATGGAGAGACAGAGTATAAAAAAGAAAATCCAGAAAATAACTTCAAAGAATATATATTAATTGATTTGTATTTCATTAAGGGAAATAAGTATTTGATCCCCTAGTATGCATTAGGAGTTCTGGCTTTCACAGACCAGTTAGACACTCCCAATCAACTTGTTACCTGAATTGAAGACACCTGTTCTAACTAAACACCTGTGTGAAAGACACTTGTTCACAGAATTAGACAATCAGACAGATTCCAAACTCTCCAACATGGTTAAGACCAAAAAACTCTCTCAGGACCTCAGAGACAGGATTGTTGACCTGCACAAATCTGGAACGGGCAACAAAAACATCAGCAAGATGCTGGGTATTAAAGTAACAACCATTGGTGCAATTGTGAGAAAATTTAAGAAGTATAACCTGACCATCAATAGACCTCAGTCTGGTGCTCCACAAAAGATTTCACCTCGTGGGGTAGCAATGATCATGAGAACTGTGAGAAATCGGCCTGCAACCACACAGCAGGAGTTAGTGAATGACCTCAAGGCAGCTGGGACCACAGTCACCAGGAAAACAATTGGCAACACTTTACGCCGCAATGGATTAAAATCCTGCAGTGCCCGAAAGGTACCCCTGCTTAAGGCACATGTGAAGGCCCGCCTAAAGTAAACAAACGTCTGTCCGCTGTGCTTGCAAACAAAGGCTGTGCCACCAAGTATTAGGTGCTTTTGGCTAGAGGGATCAAATACTTATTTCCCTCGATGAAATACAAATGAATAAAAATATTTTCTTTAAAGTTATTTTCTGGATTTTCTTTTTGATATTCTGTCTCTCCATGTTAGAACACATCTACCATTAAAAGTACAGAATGATCATGTCTTTATTAGTGGGCAAACCAACAAAATAAGCAAGGGATCAAATACTTTTTACTCTCACTGTATATACACAACAGTTCTGTCTGGTTCTCGAATCTGATTGGCTGATAGCCATGATATATTTAAGTAATATCAGCACCTGTACAGCCTCTTTACCCTTTGTGTATTACTCCGCCCACATACAGCCAGCAGAAAGCAGACACTACACATCTAAAGTTTGAAAGATGCTTGCTCAGCTGTTTAACTGTCAGCTTATGATTTGAATCCAACGTGAAAGAAAGAAGTTCCTCATACAAAAGGGTTTTTGAGACTCTCCATGTTTGATTTTGTTTTTATATACACAATTATGCCGTCAAACTGTTGTATAAACACAATATTACACTCGTAGCAGTGCAATATGGCTGTATATCGGCACTGGTGGGGGCACTAGGGCACTAGACCTGCGGCCTTGTGCCAACGAATGCCTTCCACCAGTGCCGATATACAGCCATATCGCACTGCTACGAGTGTAATATTGCTCATATATATATATATATATATATATATATATATATATATATATATATATATATATATACACATATATATACATACATACATACGCACGCACACACACACACACACACACACACACACACACACACACAGCATATCTGTGCAATCCACACATGATCTTGTCAAATATGTCGATGGCAACTTTGATCACTTGGACAACTTTGCACACATTTTTTTCTCATGATATCGCAGATTAGACAAAATGGAGAATCTCTTCCCGCATGACGAGCACTGATGCAGCTTTTTCCCAGAGTGAACTTTCTGATGAGCTTTCAGGTTTCCTGAATAACTGAAGCTCTTCTCGCAGTGTGAGCACTGATGTGGTTTCTCTCCGGTGTGAATCCTCTGGTGAACTTTCAAAACCGATGAATAACCGAAGCTCTTCTCGCAGTGTGAACACTTGTACGGTTTCTCTCCAGTGTGAATCCTCTGATGCGTTTTCAACGCGCTTGATGAACTACAGCTCTTCCCGCAGTCTGAACACGTGTACGGTCTCTCTCCAGTGTGAATGCGCAGATGAACCTGTAAATTTTCCATGCGTGAAAAGCTCTTTCCACAAGAAGAGCAGCAGTGAGGCTTCAGTCCAGAGTGAACTTCGAAGTGCTTTCTTAGGTTTGCTGCAGACACAAATGTTTTCTCGCACTGATCACAGCTGAACGGCTTCACTCCAGTGTGAATGCGCTGATGACTATTGAGGCTGCTTTCAGTTTTGAAACTCTTTCCACACCGAGCACACGCGAATAGTTTTCCTCCAGTGTGAACATTTAGATGTTGAATGAAGCTTCTTTTCTGAATGAAACACCTCCCACATTGAGTGCACGCGAATGGTCTTTCTCCGGTGTGAATCCTCATGTGCTCATCATAGCCTCCTCTGTAAACAAAACTCTTTCCACACTGATCGCACACGAATTGTTTTTCATCAGAGTGATTTTTCAGATGTCTATTCAGGGATGCTTTCAGAACAAAGCTCCTTCCACATTGAGCGCAGGTAAAGGGGTTTTGTCCATCGTGAATCCTCATGTGATCGCTAAAGTTTCTTTTGAGATTGTAACTCTTTCCACATTGAGCACATGTAAACGTTTTCACTCCGGTGTGGACACGCGTGTGATAACTCAGATCTCTTTTGGCGGAGAAACTCTTTCCACATTGAGCACATGTAAACCCTTTTCCTCCGGTGTGAATCCTCATGTGCCTCTTAAAGGATGATTTATTCATGAGCGTCTTTCCACAATCGGAGCAAGTAAAGGATGCTTTGACTTCACTTTCTAGTGTAGATTCTTTGATTAAATTCTCTTCAGTCTTTAAAGTGGGAGTATATTTGGCAACCTCATTTGTGAAATGATGATCTGTTTGACTGTGAAGTGCTCTGTCTTCATTCGCTTTCATCGGGTCTAAAATCAACATATTCAGAGTGTTGTGAGGATGTAAAATACAACGAGAAAAGAGAGAAGAATAAATAACAGAAAAAAAAGATTCCAGTACAGCCAGATTTGAGTGTGTGTGTGCGCATGTAAAGGTAACTGGGTCAAAGTATATAATCAAGACATAAAACAACATAAAAATGTACAGCATACACTCACCGGCCACTTTATTAGGTACACCTGTCCAACTGCTCGTTAACGCACATTTCTAATCAGCCAATCACATGGCAGCAGCTCAATGCATTTAGGCATGTAGACATGGTCAAGATGATCTGCTGCAGTTCAAACTGAGCATCAGAATGGGGAAAAAAAGGGGATTTAAGGGACTTTAAACGTGGCATGGTTGTTGGTGCCAGCCGGGCTGATCTGAGTATTTCAGAAACTGCTGATCTACTGGGATTTTCAGGCACAGCCATCTCTAGAGTTTAAAGAGAATGGTCTGAAAAAGAAGATATATCCAGTGAGCGGCAGTTCTGTGGGCGCAAATGCCTTGATGATGCCAGAGGAGAATGGCCAGACTGGTTCCAGCTGATAGAAAGGCAACAGTAACTCAAATAAGCACTCGTTACAACCGAGCTCTGCAGAAGAGCATCTCTGAACACACAACACGTCCAACCTTGAGTCGGATGGGCTACAGCAGCAGAAGACCACACCGGGTGCCGCTCTTGTCAGCTAAAAACAGGAAACTGAGGCTACAATTCACACAGACTCACCAAAACTGGACAATAGAAGATTGGAGAAACATTGCTGCTCTGATGAGTCTCCATTTCTGCTGCAACATTCGGATGGTCTGGTCAGAATTTGGCATCAACAACATGAAAGCATGGATCCATCCTGCCTTGCATCAGCGGTTCAGGCTGGTGGTGGTGGTGGTGTAATGGTGTGGGGGAGATTTTCTTGGCACACTTTGGGTTCATTAGTACCAACTGAGCATCATGTCAACGCCACAGCCTACCTGAGTATTGCTGCTGACCATGTCCATCCCTTTAAGAGGACAGTGTCTCCATCTTCTGATGGCTACTTCCAGCAGGATAACGCAGCATGTCATAAAGTGCAAATCATCTCAGATGCTTTCTTGAACATAAAAATGAGTTCACTGCACTCAAATGGCCTCCACAGTCACCTGAGCTCAATCCATTAGAGCACCTTTGGTAAGTGGTGGAATGGGAGATTGGCATCATGGAAGTGCAGCCAACAAATTTGCAGCAACTGCATGAAATCATGTCAATATGGAGCAAAATCTTTGAGGAATATTTTCAGTAGCTTGTTGAATCTACACCACGAAGGATTAAGGCAGTTAAGAGGGTAAAAGGGGTACTAGTAAGGTGTACCTAATAAAGTGGCCGGTGAGTGTATATAACAGTAGAAAACATTACCCATGAAGATTATTAAACTTGTATGAAAAATGAAGCAAGAATATTATCTAGAAAAATATATAATAAGAATAAGGTTATTGATCCACAATAACGATGCTAATATTGGTAAATTTAATATTTGACAACAACCATACTAGTTTTGATAGTAAATTACAGTAAAAATGACAACAATAATAATAAAAAATTAACCTTTTTGCTTGGTAGCACCGGTGCTCCTAACTTAAAAAAATTAGGTGCATCACCCAAAATTTAGTCGCACTGAACAATTATAAGCACCGTTACTACAAGTTTTAAATAACATATTTATTGCATTTAAAATCAACAGTAATCAAACTAACAAGCAAATACGTTTTACATATATATATATATATATATATATATATATATATATATACACACATATATGCATGCATAAGGAAAATATGTCTCAATGAAATCCCGTTATCACAAGAAAATACATTTTATAACATAACCGAGTGAGCAAAAGACACGGAGCGCTCACCGGCCCTGCACACACTGCTCGACATGAATGAATCTGTTAACGGTATAACTTTGCTGCTCCCACGGGTGCTGTCTGATATTGCACTGATGCTTTTGACATATACTGTGCCTTATTATATGCATACGTCATGTTAATAGCAACACCGGTCTCTTCATGAGTAACGATATTAGTTTACTCAGTGCAAGCCCGTTTGCGATGGTGTACGTGGTGTTACATTTGACATATATCTGCCACTTGCACGGCGGACAGCATCTGGCGATTATATGAAGAATTAAACAGAAGCTCTCGTGCTAGATGTGGCAAACAGTTACCTGAAAACTCCATCCCAAAGACTTTTCATAGCGAACTTGAAGCCAACAGAAGTCTTCTACTCTTGGAAAAGTGTAGATGGTGGATTAACATTCAGCACATGATCACTAGTAAGATGTGTCATTATTTGTAACTTTAGATGTCATGGTTTCTAAAACTAAATCTGTCAGTGTTATCTTCATTTTTTCTTTATAGTTTTTCGCGTTAGCAGCTCTTCCTGTCGTCCCAAGCCAGAAGGCATTGACTGAGTGATTGACAGCTGATATTTCAGTGCTAGAGCAGTGGTGGGCCAATAAGAAGAGCGCGAAGGCGGGGCAAGCATTATGGCCTTGGCTTTGTTTACTGCAGCAAGTCGACATGACAACTGTTTTAAACCATACCCGAGCGCTGCGTTTCACGTTTCAAGTGCAGAGATGCATTCTGCGTGAATCTCTCACAAATCCACGCATGTGGTGAACATTTTGCAGTAAAAACTGGTCGCACACAACAATTTTATGCACTCGCACAAATGCTCCCAATTATATTTTGAGGTCGTATAGATAAAATTTCAGGTATATATTTCACATTTCGAGCCCTGAGTAGTAATACTAAAAGTAGGAGTAGTATTAATAATGAGGATATTACAACTCAATTAAAACAAACATACATGCCAGTTTTCATCTTAATGTTCCTCATCAGTCATTAAAGAGATATAATAAAAACACAAACCTATTTGTTCCTCCGTCTCTTCCTCTTTTATTCTGCAGGGTTCTTCACCAATCCCCATCTTTCCCATGCCAGTTGCTTCTCCTGCAGTAATTCCTCCTGTTTGGGAAGATCACAGATCAATAAAGCTGCTTAACCCTTATTTCTGTACAGTATTTCGACTTTACTTTTGTTTTATGCTCTCAAAAGTGATTATCATCAGAAATTAGTCCAATACACGTGAGAGTAGAGTGGTTTAAGTCACGTCAAGTCGAGGTTTATTGTCATTCTGCTACATGTGCGGACATACAGAGGAACGAAATATGTCTCGCAGGACAACGGTGCTGCATAAATTAATCGTAAATACAACATAACACTAGATATAAGAGCTATTTTAATAAACCTATGCATAACTAACATATACTATAAGATACTTTGTTGCGCAGGATATTGTGCAAACGAAGTATTGAAAGTTTTAATATTGAGCTGAATATTGTTATTTAAGGCTGAAGCGAGCTGTGCAACGTGATTGTGGTACATTTATAGTAAACATTGTTTTCTGTGGAGTTGAGGGCTCTAACAGCCTGAGGGAAGAAGCTGTTGAGTAGTCAAGCCGAGCAGGCTAAAACCTAGACTGTAAGAAACACCAGCTAACAGTTATTTCAATTACCAATATCTATTTTATCCACTAAAAATGACTATAGTATTGCAAATGATCAAGTTAATCAAACAGTTAGTACGGTAAAGTCTAGATGGGATACAGCTGCAGATACTCACAGCATTCATTCATTCATTTTCTCTTCGCCTTAGTCCCTTTTTTAATCCGGTGTTGCCACAGCGGAATGAACCCCTAACTTTTCCAGCACATTTTACGCAGCAGATGCACTTCTAGCTGCAACCTATCATTGGGAAATACCCATACACTACGGACAATTTAGCCTACCCAATTCACCTGTACCTGCATCTATCTATCTATCTATCTATCTATCTATCTATCTATCTATCTATCTATCTATCTATCTATCTATCTATCTATCTATCTATCTATCTATCTATCTATCTATCATTCTGTTTATCTATCTATCTATCTATCATTCTGTTTATCTATCTATCTATCTATCTATCTATCTATCTATCTATCTATCTATCTATCATTCTGTCTATCATTCTATCTATCTATCTATCTATCTATCTATCTATCTATCTATCTATCTACCATTCTGTTTATCTATCTATCTATCTATCTATCTATCTATCTATCTATCTATCTATCTATCTATCTATCTATCTATCTATCTATCTATCTATCTATCTATCTATCATTCTGTTTATCTATCTATCTATCTATCATTCTGTCTATCTATCTATCTATCTATCTATCATTCTGTCTATCTATCTATCTATCTATCTATCTATCTATCTATCTATCTATCTATCTACCATTCTGTTTATCTACCTATCATTCTGTCTATCTATCTATCTATCTATCTATCTATCTATCTATCTATCTATCTATCTATCTATCTATCTATCTATCTATCTATCTATCTATCTATCTATCTATCTATCTACCATTCTGTTTATCTACCTATCTATCTACCTATCTATCTATCTATCTATCTATCTATCTATCTATCTATCTATCTATCTATCTATCTATCTATCTATCTATCTATCTATCAATCTATCTATCATTCTGTTTATCTATCTATCTATCTATCTATCTATCTATCTATCTATCTATCTATCTATCTATCTATCTACCATTCTGTTTATCTACCTATCATTCTGTTTATCTATCTATCTATCTATCTATCTATCTATCTATCTATCTATCTATCTATCTATCTATCTATCATTCTGTTTATCTATCTATCTACCTATCTATCTATCTATCTATCTATGCATATGTTTTCGATCTATAAATATATATTTTAAATGGTTTCAAACTTAAACTACCTCCATAAAGTTTGTCTTCAAACTTTATTATCTAGTTCTCATTATATATTGCTGTTTTTACATTACTCTAAGAGTTGGGGTAGACGTTGATAAAATACAACTAATAGATAATTTCAGAAATAATATAAATAATTCTTGTTAACTTCCCGCCATTGCTGTATCTCTTTCTAGCAATAACCAGCAATCTTCCTTATAAGTGAGTTTATAGTAATACAAACAAATGGTTCAATACTGTAGTTTTCTACAACTATAGGATATATTACACTACAATACACAACAGTTAACTGTAGTAAAAAATAAAGTATACCGCAGTATTATTTAAGGTTTATCAGTTCACTATTAAGTGACGTAAATACTATATTTATAAACAATATAATACACTATTGAGATAATGATGGTTTTATTTTCGCACATTCAGACTTTCATCTCAATAATAACATTTCAGAAAAGTATTATTTGCCAATCCTAAAGAGTGAAATCATAATTGGAGCCAATGACTATCAAAGTAACGTTAGAACACTGTTCATAGTGCTAATGTTGTTTTGAAGTCATATTTACAAGGGTTTTTAGTCTGAATATTCAAAGTACCATGGTAAACAATATATGGAGCGTGTCACTAAACGAATGTGCGAATATAGTACCAACTTTACCTCAATAAATCATATTAGCAGCTAATGACTATCAAAGTACAACAGCGTTCAGTCAATTAAATTGTGCTAATGTTGTTTTAAAGTCATACTACACGCAATTTCAGACCGAATATTCAAAGTAACGTTACAATATAGGAACATTCACAAATTGTCACTGTTCAAGAATATAAAACCAACTTTACCTCAGGTAATACACTTTACTGTAGTAAAGTTGCAAAACAATATAGTATTTATTGATTACGTATTTGTTCTTGTGTGTAATGAGGATAAACGGAATATAGTTAGCGGGCTTTTACTTGTGATACAAACACATTAAAATGCCGAGCGTTATCTTCAACACGGTTGTAAATAGAGCGAGAAATGACATTATATGTTGAGCAATCTTATCATTTGAAATTGAAGAGTAACAGTGAGTGGCACCAATGATTTAAAGGGTAAGTTACTTACTTTCTTTCATAACATCGCATCTGTAGCGTCTTGTGTTGTGTGCATCACTTAATGGGCTCCGTGTATGTACATACCCGAGTAGTTCCTCTCCATCACCTGGTATTATCTCTAACCCAGGTGTGTCCGATCTCGGTCCTGGAGGGCCGGTGTCCTACATATTTTAGTTTCAACCCCAATTAAACACACCTGAACCAGCTAATCAAGCTCTTACTAGATATACTAGAAACTTCCAGGCAGGTGTGAAGCAAGTTGGATCTAAACTATACAGGACACCGGCCCTCCAAGATCGAGTTTGGACATCCCTGCTCTAACCTAATAAAACTGAAACGAATATCATCAATCTCTCGTTTAGTCCATTTATCAGCTTTATCTGCTTATTTTAAGTGAAGTTTATGTATAAACATATTTCGAGAGGATCACGTGCTTATGATTGCTAGCGGCTGGATCCGCATTATCCAATTCACTATGCTCCAATCAGATGACTCCTTAACTAGTATAAATACCCTGGGTTTCATTCCTCTGGTTTCTTCGTTTTGAAGAGTCCCCCCTTCCTCCCCTACTTCTTAGATGGGTGACACGGTGGCCAAGTGTGTAGCACTGTTGCCTCACTGCAAGAATGTCTCTGGTTCCAGGCTTTACCAAACCAGCAGACATTTCTGTGTGAAGTTTGCACTTCTCCCCGTGCTCACGTGGGTTTCCCCCGGGTTCCTCCCACCGCCTAAAAAACATGCAATTAAGTTAATTGAATAATCCAAATTGGCACCATAGATATGCTTCTAGTACGGAGTTATCTTCAAGAGCAATCACTTACTGTGCATTGGTTACTACAGCAGGGGAGTTCTCGAGATCTACCTGAGCTCAAACTCCCAGGGCTCGAGGATCTCATGAGCTCAGGGCTCTCTCTCCCGGGACAGCATGCCAAACAAGCTTTTATAATTAATCATCAGCTAAGTGTGAACTCTTGAAACTTCTTTAGCATATTTTTAAATTACTCTTTCATCCCAGTTCGTTTATGTAGCTTACCCAACACAATCTCACGGCAATTCGTAACTTTTTCATTTAGTGGCTAATTCGTATGAATTCGTACGATCTAATTCGTACAATTTAGTACGATTTGCTTTTCCCCCAATGACGGTTGGGGTTAGGGGTGGGGTTAGTATTATATATATATTTATTTATATATATATAAATATATATATATATATATATATATATATATATATATATATATATATATATATATATATATTTATTATATATATATATACATACATACATACATACATATATATACATACATATATATACATACATACATACATACATATATATATATATTTATATGTTGTGAATATATATATATATATATATATATATATATATATATATTTATATTTATATGTTGTGATATATTTGAGATATATATATACCATGTTTGATTTTGTTTTTATATACACAATTATGCCAGCAAACTGTTGTATAAACGCAATATCACACTCGTAGCAGTGCAATATGGCTGTATATCCGCACTGGTGGGGGCACTAAGGCACTCGGCCGTAGCACGCCTCCCACCAGTGCCAATATACAGCCATATTGCACTGCTACGAGTGTGATATTGTTCTTATGTATATAATTTTCTTTTTAAATGTGAGTGATGGATCTGATTTGAAAGGATTTCTTTTTTTAATGCAATGTCAGGCAATACATGCTTATTACTCATTTATTTTGAATGAAATGGTTGGTTATATAATTGAGCAAAGCCTTCCACATGAAGATCACTGATACTGCTGTTCTCCAGTGTGGACTTTCTGATGATATTTCAGGCTTCCCGAAGAAATGAAAGCTCTCTCACAGTGCGAACACTGATACGGTTTCTCTCCGGTGTGAATCCTCTGGTGCTTTTTTAAGTGGCTCGATGAACTGAAGCTCCTCCCGCAGTCTGAACACACATGAGGTTTGACTCCAGTGTGAACGCTCTGGTGAATCCTTAAATTTTCCAGTCGTGAAAAACTCTTTCCGCAAAAAGAGCAGCAGTGAGGCTTCAGTCCGGAGTGGACTTTCAGGTGTGTGCTCAGGTTTGATGCGTAAACAAATGTTTTATCGCACTGATCACAGCTTAACGGCTTCCCTCTAGTGTGAGAGAGCAGATGCTCTTTGAGGACGTTTTTATATCTGAAACTCTTTCCACACTGAGAGCAGGCATACGGTCTTTCCCCGGTGTGAATCCTCATGTGTGAAACCAGCTTTCCTTTCTCGGTGTAGCTCTTTCCACATTCGGTGCATGTCAACAGTCTTTCCCCAGTGTGAAATCTCATGTGTCTGGTGAGATCTGAATTTTTTTTGTAACTCTTCCCACACTCGCAGCAGATGAACGGGCCTTTGGCTCCAGCTTTCCTTGAATTGAAAGTTTCTTCAGTCTGTGAACTGGCTTCATTTCCGACTTCATCTGTGGAAATATTTGGTTTATTAAAGTGGGTGTTTGTCTTCATTCAGTCCAAAAATCTATTAATTAAATTAACGATATTAAATAAGCATAAATGTGGAACAAAAAATGGAATCTGTCTAATTTTACTAAAAACGTATGATCTAGGGTACGTCTTAATCTTTCTGACATGGAAAAACAATTGTGTTCTTCATTCTCCCTCAAAGGGGAGATATCTTTTTTTTACTTAATGTTATCCAATGTAGGGTGTTCTTCCTTTACCTCCTTGAAAGTTTTTTTTTTTAGATTTATTTTTGGCCTTTTTGCCTTTATTAGATAGGACAGTATTGAGACAGGAAGTGAAGGGGGAGAGAGAGAGAGGGGGTAGGGTAGGGAAATATCGTCGAGCCGGGATTCTAACTGATGTGCTATTGCAGCATATGTCGGCGCGCTAACCACTAGGCTATTGCGCCGACACCTCCTTGAAAGTTATATGGGAGAAGGGCTGTGGAACAAATTTTAGTAAAGAAGAATGGCTTTCTGTCTGTTCTGGCATATTTTTCAAAGGGGCCACAATATCAAACCATGAGCAAAATTTTTAATTCTTTTACAGAAATTATTTAACGCCGGTTCGTCTTAATAAGATATTCTCTAATGTTTCTCAGTGTTGTTTTAAGTGCAAATCCAATGTTGGTACTGTGATGCATGTATTCTGGGACTGTGACATGATTAAGACATACTGGAAAGAAATCCACAAATTAGTTCAGAAGATTATAGGTAGACTTTTTGCCCTTTCTCCAGCAGTTTATCTTCTGAATTGTAAAACTGCTCTACAACTTAGTCATGGACTAGAACAGTGATGGGCAAACCCGGTCCTGGAGGGCCGGTGTCCTACACAGTTTAGCTCCAACTCTAATCAAACACACCTGCTTATAGGTTTCTAGTGATCTTGAAGACACTTGCTGTTTCTCAATTCCAAGAACGCAGAGAACGGACTTGTGTTCTTGTGGAGACCGGTCTTGCCAGGTGTCCTCGGAAGAACGAACTCGGGAGACCGCGAGGGCAGAGAAGGCGTCCTTTGAGAAATGGGATGCTGTGTTCTTCCTGATGGTCACGTGACCTTTACGCGTTTTAAATGGAAATTATTTAAACATAACAGCTGTATAAAATCCCTGTTGAACTCTCATTTTGATAACTGTGTGACGTCACATGTGGGTGGAGTTACGGACGTGCCCAGACATGTTCGGTTCTCAGAATATTCCAGTGCTGCAATGAGACAGACGGTAGTTTGTTGATGTGTGTGCGTTCATGAGAATGTAAGTTCAAATTACTATTTATTGTTAGCTAAAAGTGTGTATATGTATACTTTCTAATATATACTGTTTTGTTCTACCTCAGTATTTTAAGATGCCTTAGCTAAAAGAGTTTGCTTGATAGATCTGTATAAATAGACTGTTAAAATCAATGTTTACAGCACATACTTATACAAATAATGCTAATTGAAACTATAAGGTGTTTATACATTTATAAGTAGTATTCAAAGATACTGAAATCAGTTTATGTGATGTATAGAAAATTGTATTGATAGATTATACAACATGTAGCGAGTTTACATGGCTGCTGTTTGTTATAACTGGTGCAAGAGCTCCGCCTAGTGGCCATTAGCGGAATTACCTTGTATTATTCCCCATTCAGTAATGTTTATTTATTGTCATTCAAGAATATTGTTTAAGAGCTTTGTTTAATCTATTGGTATTGTTTTATTTCAGAAACCACACACACACAGACACAAAATTGCACCCAAATACGCAAATCTAAATGCACTCCTAAATGTGTAAACTGTTTGAAGATGGGATTGAATAAATCAATGTGCAGACCATACTGTCGTCAATGTTGCCTGTTCACCTCTGACCGGGTTTAAGGAATGGATGTTGACCACCCAGTGTACACACGCACATACATCTAACAAAGTGGTCCTTCGAGCCGGATTCAACATCTATCCTTATGGCAACATCAAGGGATTTCAATGAAAATCAACAGAGTCTTCGTCCTAGCAGGATTCGGAGAATTCCTGGACATCTGGATGACTTTGTACTGACTTCCCAGCCACAGCATTTAGTTTCACCCCCTTTGCAAGAGGATTTGCAGCATATGCATGTTAGTGAGACTATCACTGATCCAGATGTGGAATATGGAACTTCTACCCCTTATAGACCTGATACTGAGACTACAAGGCTACGTAAAGTAGAAGAGAGTGTTTGGAATGTACAAGAGCAACTCAGAGAATTACAAAGCACGTTGAAAATGTCTATTCAGCAAAGCAAAGGTTCACCATGTATGCATCAGGACTTAAGCTATGTTTCTGCCACAGGTGCTGGACATCACAGGTCAGTCCCTCATCCAATTAGTCAGCAGCAGTCCATCCAGCAACGTAGTGTCAGTTTGCCTCTTCTCTGTTCGGGTCATCTGAGCTCAGGAAACATTGAAAAACCAAAGTATTATTCTCCAGTTATACCAGCATGCTTACCCACCACAAACTTACCTCAGCCACATAGTCTGCCTCCAGTACAGATGACCCAAGGGTTACTACCACAGACATTACAGCCATTATCTCGTACAGCCTCTCTCCCTATTGAGCATCATGTACAGCAGCGTGAGACACGACCAGGATCTGCTCCAGCAGGTGTAATGC